CTTGGGCCTCCTGTGCTTGTTGAGACCAATGCCTTGCTCCTGTCACTCACATCATCACCCTAGATTATGGCCTTGGTTGCCCAAACTCTTTGATCAAGTTTTTTTTATTCTTTCTTCCTCATTCTAGTCCATGCTTTCCAAATCTGACACCTTCCTGCCTGGTCCTTTTTAATAAACGTCACCTCTGTCCTTTTTGATAACACTTTCCCCACTGCATTTCTGATCAAACACCTGACCCTGACCAATCTCCCACTCCTTCTCCAGGTCTTATAGTGGTTTGAGCTCCCGTCCAACCAGGTGTGAGCTCCTGCATACCTCCAGGAGCTCACACGATTTTAACTGATACATCTTTCTCTCCCTCCCCACCCATGATCATGTCTGTTTTCCAAGAGCAAACAGCAGCACCACCAGTTGGCCTGCTTCTTGCTGCCTCCATTAACCACTTCTAATCTTACCACCACCCCTGCTGTCTGCCGCTCTCTTCCCTCTTTGGGACACATTTTTTCTCCTTGTTCTTCTCTGTTCTCTCCTTTGTCTACCACTAATTCTGAATGTCTCTGCTTTGGCTTCTCAAGAACCAAGTCCTGCCCTGTGGCCAGCAGACCAATCACACTCTACCTCTTTGGTTCAGCCCAGCTATTTTGGTCCCTGCTCTGTGCTCTGAGCTTTTTCTCACTTTCCTCTGGGTTTGCACCTCTTTCAGCACTTAAAGGGTGACAGACATCTTAGAGTTGGTTAACTGAGCTGTAAAGGGCAGACTTCTGACGTGGCTGGTGATTGAGTAATGGGTCCAGGTGCAAAAAAGATGAAAGGTGGGTCATTTTGTTTAAAACTGAATGGGATCTCTCTCAAAAAAACAAAACAAAAACTGAATGGGGATTTTTTCCTTTAGTGGATTTTTTTTTCCAGATGGGACAATGGAGCCTATTGCCTCTTTAAACAAAGAAGTCAAACTATAATAGATTGAATTTCAGCAAATGTTTTTCCCAACCCCTAATAGATACCAAGAATTGTACTTGGTGCTTTCATGTATATTCCTCATTAAACCTGCCAAGATGAAATGCCTTTTTTGGTGCCCAGACTTTGCCTCCTAGACAAACTATTCATCTATTCATTCATTATTTATTGTGCCAGGCACTGTGCTAAGTGCCATAGCAAATACAAAAATAATTACCAGCCTCTGCTCCCCAGGAACTCAATCTAGTGAGCAAAACATGTCAACCATCAGGTGTGACACACGGAGGAAGTTGTGCTTAGAGTGGCAGAGAAGGAAGGCGCTTCGGGAGCAAACAGGGCACCCACTAGCTCTGCCCAGGAGAGTTAAAGAAGGTTTACCAAAGGAGATGACATTTCAGCTAAACCTGGAGGATGCGTTTGCTCACACACATAAAGAGAATGGGCTTTGTGGGCAGCAAGAGCAGCCTGGGCGTAAGAAAGGGCAGGAAATGTTTTGGAATTGCGATGACTGGAGTTTAGAAGACTTGCTCCAACATCAGGGGCTTCTGCCCAGAGCAGTCAGAGAACTGCCTGGGTCGCAGAGCAAGTGAGTGGCAGAGACAGAGTGAAGCAGCAGCAGTTGGAATTGTCCGGTGGCTAATCCATAGTCCTTGGCCTCCTACCCTCTAACATACACACACAGGCATATGCTCATAGGCATGCACCAGGTCCAAGCTCAGTGCCCTGTTCCCTGGTGTAGAGCTGTCATTTGACCAGCCCCTCCTGCTCCCACTTCCCCTCATACGCCTGCCCCTGAGCTCTGAGGATTGTCCCTAGTGAACATGGGAGGGAAGCAGGACCCAGAGAAGGTTGATTCATTCCAGTGTTTGGTCCTGACCGAGACATTTACCTAGGACTTGAGTGCTTAGATCTTAACTCCTGTAGCTTCTGAGATAGACTCTGAGACCTTCATATTGGATCTGATTGGCTTTGAGATGCTTCTTGTTGGAGTGTCCCAGAAAAGGATCTGGGTTCGTCAGCCTGCCCTTTACTGAGGAGGAGATACTTTTAATTTCCCAAAGCCCTAGAAGGCTGGAGTGGGTTTATGCGAAAAGTTCCCTGTTCCCTACCTCCTACCATAAGCAGTAATGAGAGCAGGAGGGGAAAAGATTCTTAAATTCCATGCTAGTTTAGAGGTAGATAATCAAAAAATAATCAGTTGGCTGACTGGTTTGTCAACAGTATCTGTCCAAAGAGCCCCAGCCATTTCCCAAATGCCATAATTCATTTTAGTTGGATTTTTAGAGAGGAATTGGATTTACTGTAGATTTGTACCATACCTCTTTTTGGAAGGGCTTGCGGCAGTTTACAGATTGAAACAATGTTCTTAAGTAAGACTTTTAAGGATGAAACATACCGTGGTGGTCAGAAAGATGACAAAAATAATAGCTACTTCCAAGCATCACCGTGTTCAACACTTATGTTATAAACTTGGCTGAAAGATTCCTGGCAGAAAGGCCAAAAAGGAAAACCATTGGTTACCCAGTGTTCATTGTCTGACCCCAAAAAACCATACAGAATCTCCTTGGGAAATCATTTTCCTTAAGCTAAAGTTTGATAGAAAGTGATTGTGTTTGGTCCTAAGAAGTTGGGAAACAGGGTAAAGAGCACACAGTCCAAGTCGGCTGTGTTTCTCCGTGTGCAGTGCTCCCGGTGCTGCTGAGAGGTTATGTCCATAGGTCACCCGAGAGCAAGTCGGCTTGACCATGACAATGTACCGCCTTCGAAGGACCCAGTAGGACTGGCTCTTGGCTCAGGGAGGATGTGGGAAGGCGAGATGACTAGATCTCAACACGCACGTTACCCAAAGAAAGAGATAACACACACCTTTGGAGTGATTATGCCAGGTGCATTTGTTCATTTCACCTTAACGACCATCTGGGGAGGAGGAATTATTGTTTACATTTTACAAGTAAGGAAATGGAAGCTTAATTTTTTGGCTGATCCTAGGCCACCATCAAGTCACAAGTGATTCTCTGTAATTTGTCCACTTGGTAAACAGATTATTATACGGGGTGGGGCAAACACAGATTTACAGTTGTGAGTACTTGAAACACAGAGCTTATTCTTATATTATTTTCCAAACAAACAACTGTAAAGCTACTTTTGCCATACCCTGTATATCACCTCCCAACTTTCTTCCTTTCCAACCCTCTCTACTCATCACCACACAGCCCTCCCCCCATTTGTACCCATTTTAAAGGCTGCTCAGAATGTGCCATGCTCCCTCACAGCTCCAGACAGTTGCACATGCTATATCCACCAAAACAGCTCTGATCCCATCTCCATTCAGAGGCCTCTCCCAAGCTCTCCTTGCTCTCTGTCCCTGCCCCCCATGTGGCTAAGACACCCTTCTTTTGTTCTCCCATAGAACCCTGTACATGCTGGATTTTTTAAAATATGTTTTTTATTGTTTTCAAAGAGGAAGGGAGGGAGAGATAGAAACATCAATGATGAGAGAGAATCGTTGATCAGCTGCCTCCTGCATGCCCCCTACTGGGGATGGAGCCCACAACCTGGCCAGGTGCCCTGCCCAGAATCGAACCATGACTTCCTGGTTCATAGGTCAACATTCAAACACTGAGCCATGCTGGCCAGGCTGTTTTTGTGTTTTTTTAAAAAATATATCTTTATTACTTTCAGAGAGGAAGAGAGAGGGAGAGAGAAACATCAATGGTGAAAGAGAATCATTGATTGGCTGCCTTTTGCACCCGCCCCCTATTGAGGATCAAGTCAGCAACCCAGGCATATGCCCAGACCGGAACTGAACGTGATCTCCTGGTTTATAGGTTGACACTCAGACACTGAGCCATGCTGTTGTTAATCAGTCCAATGGATTTTATCACAAGACAGTAAAGATGTTAGTCACCTTTGGTAAAGTAAATAATTATTTATAGTTTGTTTGCCTCCTTCCAAAAATGGTTTGATTTGCCTTGTAATAACAGGCATATCCACAATAAGACTGTTCATATAGAAACAAGAAACAAAAACTAGAGGTAGAAAGGGAATAATATCGTTGCCTACATTCTTTTTCTCCCATGAGCTCACCTGGTGTCCAGGACAATCCTCTGTGGATGGGCACAGGTTCTGTCTGGCTTAGAGACAAGCACGCAGGAGGCTCCTGTAAATGCTCATGAATTCAGGAAATACATGGATGTTCTTCTCATTCTCCAATCGATGCCACAAGTGTTTGCTGGTGCTCTGGTTTCTTCAGGCTTCCATCCCCTCATGCTCATTAGTGGGAATAATTGTCTTTACTTCGCTGCCTTTCAGATTCATGGCTTTGTTGGAGCTTCATCATCCAAGCGGCTTCAGATTCTCTTGCCCTTTTTATTTTTAATGACTCCATGCATAAAACTTAGAAAAAAGAAAAGAGCAAAAAAAAGAAGTCCCCCATGATGCTATAACAAAGGATATTAATTTTTTATAGAAACTTTTTAAAAAAATATATATATTATTGATTTTTTACAGAGAGGAAGGGAGAGGGATAGAGGACTAGAAACATCGATGAGAGAGGAGCATCGATCAGCTGCCTCCCGCACACCCGCTACTGGGGATGTGCCTGCAACCAAGATACATGCCCTCGAACGGAATCGAACCTGGGACTCTTCAGTCCCCAGGCCGATGCTCTATCCAGTGAGCCAAACCGGCTAGGGCAATTTTTTATATAAACTTTTTAAATTATTTCAGATTTTCAGAAAAGTTTTCCAGAATAGGACAAAGAATTCCTGAATATCCTTCAGGAATAATATCCTTCAGTTAATAATTCCCCAACTATTAACATTTTACAACATCTATTTCCTCTATCTCTCTCTCTCTCTATATATATATATATTTTTCCCCGAGCTCATTTAAGAAAGAGTTGCAGATATGATACACCCTTATGTAAACCTAAATACTTCAGTGTGTATTTATTAAAAACAAGAAATTCTCTTACGTAATCATACTATTATTGTGCCCTTATAGGCTTTTCTATGCATATGTTTATGTATTGATATTTAAATTAAATATCAATATTGTTTTGTTTATATTTGTTTTCAATGGCTTGCATTCTAGAAGGGGTTAGCAGTAAAGAACGTATACTATAACCTCATGCCAGTAAATATTCTACAGCATAATTCTTCATCAGACTCTGGCTTTAGACAAACAGGTTTCTGGAAGGCCGCCCTCTTTCAGAAAATGAACTGTTCTTGTGCCCTCGCATGTCTAGTCGTATGTTACATCTGTCAGTGGAAACCACTCAATAGATGAGCAAAGAGTCAGGGTAGTAGAAAGCCTTGAATGCAAATTTAATCTTTAGTCTGTAGCCAGTAGCGATCCAGTGAAAGGTTTATAGCAGGAGAGTAAGCCAACAAGAGCTGTGTTTTCTGGAGATGAATTTGCATGTCTTCAGGAGAGAGTCAAGGAGGAAGAAATCAGAGCATGAGTCCTCAAGCCCCTGGGTAAAATGATCCGTTTCAAGGGCAGATCTCTGCCCAGGTAGGACAGAGGCTTCTCCGGCATAATGCATCCTTTCCTTTCACATGTCTTTCAGAACTGGTTAAAGTCCTATGGCTATCTGCTTCCCTATGATTCACGGGCATCTGCGTTGCACTCAGGGAAGGCCTTACAGTCAGCTGTCTCCACTATGCAGCAGTTTTACGGGATCCCAGTCACCGGTGTGTTGGATCAGACAACAATCGAGTAAGATTTGCATAGGACATTGTGCCTTTGAAATTTCTGGACTTGCGTTTAGGTTCACATTTGTCATGGCCTCATGTATGCACCATGCCCGCCCATCCTACCTTCCTTACCTTTACTCTTCAGTGTCATCCCGGAAGGCAACACCCCAAGGTGCCCTTTCCTAGGTGAGCTGGGCATGGGCTCTGCCACAAACGTGCTGTGTGACCTTGGACAAGTCACTTAACCCTTTGGGGCCTAGGCTTCCTTATCAGCACAGCGAGGGGTTTGGCTATAGATTACCTTAAATTTCCTGACTCTAGAACTGGTGGTTCTACGAGTCATCCCTCCAGCATTCCCCGAGATAGACACTTGGCGCAGAGAACACTTGAAAAAAAAGTTGACAACACTTTTTCCATTTATCAAATGTTTGCTGAATGCTTGTGCTTGATCCTATGTCCCTGCCCCACCCCCACCCCCCACCCCCAGGCTTACCATTTAGTGAAAAATAGTCATCTGGCTACATTAGTCTAGGACTCAGAGGAAACACTGAGTTTCAGGGAGACACTGAGAGGTAATAACAAACCAGCCACGAGGATGGTCGAGATGGCTCAGGGAGAGTATAAGAGGAGGAAGGGAAGAGTGCCGGGGATGGAGCCCCTCAAAACAAGCTGAGCAGGAGCAGACAGAGAGGTTTAAGGAGCCTGGGGTTGTGATGTCATGGCAGTGAAGGGGGGGATGGCGAATGAGCTCAGCTGCTGCAGGCTGGTCAAACAGGAGACTGGGATGTGTCTGCTGAGTTTGGAAACAAAGAGGTCATTGTAAGCTCTGGGATGGTGGAGACAAAATTAGATTGCAGTGGGGAGAGAAGAGGTGAGGAGTAGAGATGGCAAATGTAGGAAAACTTTCAAGAAGCTTAATAGTGAAAGGGAGGAATAGATGATCGCTAGAGAGGAATGAATTTGGTTTATTTTAAGTTTGAAGAGAATTGGGCATGCTTCAGTTTGTTTAAGAAAAGTCATGAGAAAGGAGGTTGGGGGGTTGGATCCTGAGCTCAGGTGGTGGAGAGAGCAGGGCTGGATGGGGATGTGGGGAAGGTCGTGGGAGAAAGAACGGAAAATCCACCCAATTGAGGAGCCAGGATCTATCCACCCCTTAGATGAGTCACTCCGTGAGAGAATCATCTCTCTGGGCTTCAGCTTGTTCATTTACAAAGGGGAGTGTTGAATTATGACTCTCAAATTCTAGATTCCATTGTTCTGAGTGTCTAAGCTTTTAAAATGTGGTGAGTATGGGGTTTTATGATCCTAACATTCTGTCCAAATGTTTTCTACTCCTAGGATTCTCTGATTGTGAGACTGGAATTCTGAGATAATACATTAGACTGCTCCTATGATGCTGGGAGTACAATGGACTCCTTAGCCCTGTGGCCCCATGAGTGAGCTGGTTAGAGAGGACCTGACCGCCTTTCAAAGCGGAGGTTATTTTGAGGGCTTTGTGCAGGGCTCGTGGCAGTGCATCCTGGGGCAGAAGCACTGGTGTCTCTGCTGAGGCACCACCTGGCCTTGGGTTTTACTCTGTTCCAGAAAGCCACAGGCCTGCTGGATAGAGTTCAGAGTGTGGCAGGTGGACACGAGAGGAGGAGGCAGAGGGAATGATCTGAAAGAGGAGGATGGCATTTCCCACTTGCGGTTCTGCCCCGCCCCCTCTTTGCAGGAAGGTGGGGAATGCTGATTTGGAGGCCTGGACAGGAAGAAGGCAGTCACACTTAAAACAAGAATAGGGAAGGTGTTGGGGTAAAATTTAGAGACCTTAGTTTTGGCTTCAGCTCTGTGGCCTTGGGCAGTCCACTGCCTTCTCTGGGCCTGTTTCCCCCCTGGGGAACCTTCTAGGCCTTGCTGGGCCCTGTCATTGCCGAGATGGCTCCTGGTTCCTTTTCCAGGGACTGTCAGTGAAAGGAAGCTAGATTAGCAATTCAAAGTACTATTTTTTTTAAAATATATTTTATTGATTTTTCACAGAGAGGAAGAGAGAGGGAATAGAGAGCCAGAAACATCGATGAGAGAGAAACATCGATCAGCCGCCTCCTGCACACCCGCCACTGGGGATGTGCCCACAACTAAGCCACATGCCCTTGACTGGAACCAAACCGGGAACTCTTCAGTCCGCAGGCCGACGCTCTATCCACTGAGCCAAACCGGCCAGGGCCAAAGTACTATTTTTGAGTGCCTACCTTGGAAAACGTCACACAGTAGTCATTCACTCATTCACTCATCATTCATTCATTCATTCAACAAACAGTTCCTTTAGCCCAACCTTGTGCTAAGCATGAAAATTAATAGTTCACTTATTCATTCAACTAAGTTCTAGCCCCACCTCACTGTTTTGTTATATTTTGCAAGTTACTCAATTTATGTGTCTTTTTTCCCTCACCTATAAAGCAGAGAATAAATAATTTCTGGTTACTTCACTAAGTTGTATTGAGAATCAGAAAAAAATTTTTTTTAATGTAAACACTGTGAAAATTATCAATTTTTATTCCAATGCATGGTATTGTTATTATTGTGTTTTCCATTATTGATTTCTGAGTATAGGACACTGGAGATGATGTAGACACTATATTTTATTTGGTTATAATATTCTGTCTCGTTCCTAAATTGCCAGTAGCAACTGCTTTCAACAACTGCAAATGAGGTCAGACTGTTTTCCCTTCTAGCAATCCCAAGCTATTGTTTTAGTGAGAGAGTCATTAGGCCAGCAGGGACTTGGATGGCCTGGGCCCCAATCAGCCATGAGCTTTTAAATCTCCTACCCTGGCCCCTCTTTTATATCCCAATAATGTCCGAGGTTACTGTTCCCTGATATAGCTTTGCCTGGTAATAAACAGTTATCAGGATTGACTTTAGTTCCAGGCACTGGGTTAACTTCTGGGGAAACAGTGATGAATATGATACAGTTCCTGTCCTCAAAGATTTTCCCATTTACTAGAGACAACAGACTAATATATTTAAAAACTCTATGTCCTACAGTTGTTTAGCCACTTTTTGAACAACAGGGCACTTGCTGTCTTCCAAGCTATGCCATTCTACTGTTGAACAGTTCTCACTCACTCAGCAAATCACTATTGACCACCTCTGTGTCAGGCATTGTGCCAGCACTGGGAATACAGGCAAGGTTCCTGTCCTCATGTGGCTTAGAATCTGGTGGGAGAGAAAAAAATAAATAAAAATGCAAATGTATAATTTCCATGAATGGTAAATGCTATGAAGAAAGTTAAGCAGGATAAACCTTAGAGAAGGTGGGCAGGGAAGTCGTCTCTGAAGGGGTGACATTTGAGCAGACACCTAAATGAAGGAGACAAACTATGTGAAGAAGTGTGTTGCAAGCAGAGGGAACAGCAACTGCCAAGACCCTGCAGTGGGCATAATCTTAGCATGTTCAAGGCACAGCAAGAAGGTCACTGTGGCTGGAGCAGAATATATGAGGGGAAAGGGGGGAAAGGTGTCATCAGACAAGTAGGCAGGGACTAGATCACAGGGGGCCCTGTGAGCCAAGGTAGGGAGTTTTGAATTAATTCTGTTGCAAGCAGAGGGAACAGCAACTGCCAAGACCCTGCAGTGGGCATAATCTTAGCATGTTCAAGGCACAGCAAGAAGGTCACTGTGGCTGGAGCAGAATATAGGAGGGGAAAGGGGGGAAAGGTGTCATCAGACAAGTAGGCAGGGACTAGATCACAGGGGGCCCTGGGAGCCAAGGTAGGGAGTTTTGAATTAATTCTAGGTGTTTGGGGGGGGGGGTGTCATTGGAGGGTTTTAAACCAGGAAGTGATACGATTCAATAACATTTACAGAGCATTTTCACATATATGTCCTCCTTTGAGGCTCTCTACAACCTAAGAACAGCAAGAACTTGAATTTTCATGGTGCAGATGAGGAAACAGGCTCATGCTGATTCAGTCGCTTGCTTGGGCTCCTATGATTAGTGGTAGAGCTGGAACTATCAAGCCCATTTTCCTGACTCCCAGTCTCATATGCAGCAATGTTTCCCATATTCAGTTGTGAGCGAATGAATGAGTCAATTGTGTTCCTATTGGGGAACCCATCAAAGCCAGGGTTCCAGTGACCCACACTGCAATTCAAACTGGGACTGGAGACTGTGCTGTATCTTCCTAGAGTGCTCAGTGACCACAGTTTATGTGTCTTCTCTCTGCCCAGATGGATGAAGAAACCCCGATGTGGTGTTCCTGATCACCCTCACTTGAGCCGTAGGCGGAGAAACAAGCGTTATGCCCTCACTGGACAGAAGTGGAGGCAAAAACACATCACCTACAGGTGCTTTGGCTTCCTCTCTTCCTCCCTGGTTTTGGCTCCACCTTCATTCTCTTTTTCCTGGCCTGAGTTTCAGAGGTTGACACCTTAGGTGGGTCTGTGATCAGGGTGTGGGCCAGGTGCTGAGAGCCTATGACAGCAGTTCTCAACCTGTGGGTCGCGGCCTCTTTGGTGGTCGAACAACTCTTTCACAGGGGTCGCCTAAGACCATCCTGCCTATCAGATATTTACATTACGATTCATAACAGTAGCAACATTACAGTTAGAGGTAGCAACGAAAATAATTTTATGGTTGGGTCACAACAGGAGGAACTATATTTAAAGGGCCAGAAGGTTGAGAACCACTGGCCTATGACTTTGTCATCCTTGTGGCTTCCAGAGGATGCCGTATCCAACTTCAGATTTATTTGATTCTTTAGGGGTTCTTCTTTGTGTTCTGTTCACATTCCAATCAAGTTTAGCTACAGAAAGTGGGGCATGGATTGTTTAGTAACTTTCAGCAATGATAAAGAACCATAGCTGAACTCATTCTCCTATCACCACTTGACAAACGACACTATCTCCGATCTACATCCCTTTCCCACTTAGTCTGATAGACTTCACGCGAGATTCCCAGCACAGGTTTCCAGTTGTTTCTTAAGGACTATAGAGAACTGGGATCTGAATCACAACAGTGTCATGTGCTGACTGTCTAGGGCCGTGGTCGGCAACCCGTGGCTCGCAAGCCACATGCGGCTCTTTGGCCCCTTGAGTGTGGGTCTTCCACAAAATACCACCACACTCAAGGGGCCAAAGAGCTGCATGTGGCTCGTGAGCTGCAGTTTGCCGACCACTGGTCTAGGGAAACCAAGGACAGAGCAGGATCAGTCTCTAAGTCACACCAGCGATCAGGGATGATGGAGCCCATCACAGCGTTCTCACATGTCTGAATTCAGACTGGGGCTGGGACAAGAGCCAGGCATAGGGCAGGCTCAGGTGGGCTCTGGTTGGCACCTCACAAGACTCTGAGTCCATCTTGGGTAGATCTCCTAGGTTCTGAGGTAGGATTTAAGATAGAGATCTTAGAGTGGAACTAAGGGCTCTCCTGCTGACAAGCTGTAGAGATCAGAACAGGATTCTTTCAGAAATCTGACAAGAAAAAGAAACTGAAGAAGAATCTGGGTTCTTCTGGATAGATTGGATAGACTGGATAGAAACTGGATAGACTCAGGGTCTCCTGAAGAGGTAGAGTGGATCAAGAAAAAAAACTGAATTCTAACACAACCCTGACCTTAACTTCTAGAACCCAACTTCTCTGAGCCTTAGTTTTCTTGCCTATAGAATGGGTGAATAATCCTTCTTCCAGGTGTTCATGGGGCAGAACATCCAAAAACAGTGATACTCCATTATGAGTAACCATGCAATATGGATATAGTAACCTTAAATAGCTAAATCTATAGCTGATTAAATCATATACTGCCCTATACCAGCTTTTAAATAGACTAGCAGTAGTTGGTGCCAAATGTGTGGAGTGTTTGTAAGAGACATTTCATTTAAACTCTCCACTGTTTAACTACTTTTATAACTTTTATAAATGCACATATTGTATATATTGGGAGAATGTGAATTATTGAGCCTGGGTTGTAGGCTCAATCCCTAGTGGGGGGCGTGCAGGAGGCAGCCAATAAATGATTCTCATCATTGATGTTTCTATTTCTCCCTCTCCTATACATATATGATTCTTATTTTTTAAATATACTTTTATTGATTTTAGAGAGGAAGGGAGAGGGAGAGAGATAGAAACATCAATGATGAGAGAGAATTATCGATTGGCTGCCTCTTGCATTTCCCCCACTGGGGATAGAGCCAGAAACCCAGGCATGTGCCCTGACCGGGAATCAAACTGTCACCTCTTGGTTCATAGGTCAACACTCAACCACTGGGCCACACCAGCCAGGCAGAGGAACATGAATTTTAGAAACTACTATCCACCAACTTTTTTTTTTTTCTAAAAATTGAAGGGAAATCCTATATTCAACACAGACTTTGTCAGAGACTAAATACAAAGCACGGATTAAAGCAAAGATACTCTGATTTAGGCAGGGTTTGGGACCCAGAGCCTTGCCTACTCAGCCTATCCCTCAAGCCCTAGGGCACCTAAGCAGAACTCTAGGTGTCAAAATTTGAAGATTATAGGGCCATATGGTCTCTGATGTTCCTTTTAGCTCTGCTAGTCTTTGACTCTCTGTCTGTTCCTCCCTATTCTAATTCCTTCCCCTCTCTCACCAGCATTCACAACTATACCCCAAAGGTGGGTGAGCTAGACACACGGAAAGCTATTCGCCAGGCTTTTGATGTGTGGCAGAAGGTGACCCCACTGACCTTTGAAGAGGTGCCATACCATGAGATCAAAAGTGACCGGAAGGAGGCAGACATCATGATCTTCTTTGCTTCTGGCTTCCATGGAGACAGTTCCCCATTTGATGGGGAAGGTGGATTCCTGGCTCATGCCTACTTCCCTGGCCCCGGAATTGGAGGAGACACTCACTTTGACTCAGATGAGCCATGGACATTAGGAAACGCCAACCATGATGGTAAGGCAATGAGGGAATAGGGGATCAATCCTGGGTTTCTCAGAAGCCCCAAGTAAGAACCTGGAGGATACCATAGATGAGATGAGTTCCTAGTTTCTAGAGCTTCTTGTCCAAGAACTAAGAACCTAAAAGGGTAGGAACTATGTCCCCTCATAATATTCAACATGTGCTCCACCAGGGTCCGGGCCATGGAGATGGGTGAGATCGCTTGGTAAATGGTCTAACTGGGCTGAGTCAGAAGGGAGGAGTTGGAGCATGAATAAGAAGATAAAGTAATGAATCAGAGGCTGGGGAAAAGGATTAAAAAATAACTAAAGCTGAATGTGGGGTCTGAAAGTGGTAGGCTCTGGCCTGATGACAGCTTCAAAGGCCATCTTATGGGATGACGTGACTGGCTCACTCCCTATGTCCACCTCACAGGTAACTAACATTCTTGGATAACTTTGCTCTTTATCACTATGATTTAATGAATATTACATGGATCCAGAGTTAGTACTGTGCAGTAACAGTAACAATACTCTTCAGGTTGCAAAAGAGTCCCACATCTGTATTTACTCATAAGGCACGTTTAGTAAGCAGGCGAGTTTTTATCATTTTAAATGAAGAGTTTGGGATTGAAGTGGCATAGCTGGCAGATAAGTGGCAGTGCCAGGGCTCAAGCCATAGTTCAACCACCTGGCTATGCCTCTAGGGGCAACTAATTCACCTCTAGTCTCCTCACCTGTAAAACGAGGGACTGGATTAGATGATCTCTGAGGTCCCTTCCAACTTTAATGAAACATGATACACAACCCAGGGGATCCAAACATTTTTTTTTAAAAAAAAAAGACATGGTCTCTGCCCTCTGGAAGCCCAGGGTCAAGTCGGGGAGACAGATATTGTTCCTAAATCCCTGGCACAGGCAGCCTAGAAATGCCAAGAAAATGCAGAGGGAGGCTAGGGGAGAAAGGGACAGAGGATCCTATTCTATTCTATTTTAGATTGTAATAGACAACTCGTATGTCAATATTCTAAGGCCCTGTCAAGTGATTTTTACATAGTCTATATATATATATATATTACTACCCCCATTTTACAGATAGGTAAACTATATAGAGAAATATTAGGTCACCTACCCAAGGTCCCATAGTTGGTGAATGATGAAATAAGGCTTTGAACCTGAGCATTATGACTCCATAGCACACCAAAATCACCTAGAAACTTTTTTTAAAGAATGCAGACTCCAGGCTCCAGGCCCCTAACCTTTTGCTATTCTGATTCTCTGATTCTGGGCCTGGGCCTGGGAATTTGCATGTAGTCTGATAAAATCCCTTCTGATGCAGGGGTTCCATCACCTCAAGAAACACTGTCTTCAACCCCAGAGTGTTTTTAACTTGTCTGATCGTAAGACTCAACCATGGCTTTTGTTAAAAACATGGATTCCAGGCCCTCCCACTGGAGATTCTCATGTGTAAGCCTAGGCAAGTTTGGGAAACACTGGGCATTCCTTTTCCTTGGTGAAGCTCAGGCTGAAAGCAGACTTTATTTTTTTTTTTAATATATTTTATTGATTTTTTACAGAGAGGAAGGGAGAGAGACAGAGAGTTAGAAACATCGATGAGAGAGAAACATCGATCAGCTGCCTCCTGCACATCTCCCACTGGGGATGTGCCCGCAACCCAGGTACATGCCCTTGACCGGAATCGAACCTGGGACCTTTCAGTCCGCAGGCTGACGCTCCATCCACTGAGCCAAACCGGTTTCGGCTGAAAGCAGACTTTAAAGCCCATTTCCTCAGAGGCTATGCCTAGTGTTTGTAAATGGGGATGACCTCTCTGAGAAAAATTTGTACTTATCTTTGCATGGACCAGGGATCATCAACTCTTGGCTCATCCTTCAAAGGGCAGTTTAGGAGGTGGTTCGGCCAAAACTTAGCCCAGGCAAAATTATAAATCCAGTTTCTCTTTGCCCCCTGCCCTCTTCGAACTTGAGTCCTCTTTCCTACCTAGCTCCATTTCCTCTGCCCCAGTGTCCCTTCCCTTCTGTCCTGGATGTGGTTTCCTGGCTTTCAGGACTCCTGTCCTTTATCTCATTCTTATTCTTGGATCCGTGTCAAGGAATGGCGGTCTGTGCTAACTGATAAGGTGTGAGGAGAAGAAAACTAACATTTTTTAGCTCCAGTGATATGCCAGCTTGTGAGATTTTAAGTTATAGCCCTGATAGAGATAAAGGAAACCCTCAAAGATTGTTGTCCAGGAAGCACTGGGAAGACACTCCTCCTCCTCTGCCCTCCCCTTCCCAGCTCTGGGGTTTGCATTTCCCACATCCACTCCCTGCTGTTGGAGACCTTGGGCCCAGTCTCAAAAGCCTACGCATTGCTGGTGGTGTGGGTGGGAAGGAGTTGGGACCATCCCAGCACCTTCCTGTCTGTCCCACCCCATCCTGATGAAGGACTGCTGGTTCTGACAGAAATTTCAAGATAGCCAGTGTCTTCTTTGGACAAGAGTCAGGACTTTTCTATGCTCTGGAAAACCAAGCATGAACTATCCAGATGCCTCTCATAACCACAGTAATAGCTGGATGGCTAGCTGGAGAGGCACCAACTGCCCTGGGGCGGCTTTGGAAAGGGAAGGATAGGAGCCAAGATTTATTGAGCACCTGTATATTATCTTGTTTAGTTTCCACATAAACTCAGGGAGAGAGGGAGCAGTGTTCTCCTTGGAACTTTTGTTTCATGGCTTTCTTCTCTATTCCATATTTCCAATATGGAAAATTTCAAATTCACAAAAGTAGAGAGAATGACAATATGAACCCCCAGGCACCCATTACCCTGCAACAACAATTATCAACATTATGTCATTCCTATGTTATCTACCCTCTCCCGGCACACGCTTTTATTTTTTGGCTGAGATTTGTTTGTTTTTTCAATTTCAGAGAGGGAGGGAAAGAAAAACATCAATGATGAGAGAAAATCATTGATTGGCTGCCTCCTGCACCCCCCACCCCCCCCCCAGAGGCCCAGTCCACCACTCGGGCATGTGCCCTGACCAGGAATGGAACCCTGACCTCCTGATTCATAGATAGATGCTCAACCATGCTTGCCAGGCTGGGCTAAGGTATTTTAAAGACAATCCCAGGCATAATCATTTCACCTGTAAATATTTTGGTATATATCAATACCTCTGGTTACTTTTTACACAACCACAAAATCAATATCAAACCCTACAAAATTAACAACAATTTCTTAAAATCAAATACCCGGTTTGTGTTCATTTTCTCAAGTTACTTCAAAAATGTCTTTGATAATTGTTTGCTTGCATCAGGATCCAAACACCATGCATACATCATACAAGACTGATATGTCTCCTAAGGCCCTTTTAACTTAAAAGTCACCTTGCTTCCTTTTCCTGTGCCCCAACAACCATATATATTAAAGAAACTGGGTCACTTCTCCTGAGTATAGTCATTTGGCTTGATGAGATTCAGGTTCACTTTTATTTATTTATTTATTTAATATATTTTATTGATTTTTTACAGAGAGGGAGGGAGAGAGATAGAGAGTTAGAAACAGCGATGAGAGAGAAACATCGATCAGCTGCCTCCTGCACACTCCCCACTGGGGATGTGCCCGCAACCCAGGCACATGCCCTTGACCGGAATCAAACCCAGGACCTTTTAGTTCGCAGGCCAATGCTCTATCCACTGAGCCAAACCGGTTTCGGCTCAGGTTCACTTTTAACTTGTCTTTCTCCCCCATATTTCCTGAATATTGTTAATTAGATCAACAGGCCAGATTCAGGTTCACTTTTTTGGCAAGAATACTTCCTAGGTCAGTGGTTCTCAACCTTCTGGCCCTTTAAATACAGTTCCTCATGTTGTGACCCAACCATAAAATTATTTTTGTTGCTACTTCATAACTGTAATGTTGCTACTGTTATGAGTCATAATGTAAATATCTGATATGCAGGATGGTCTTAGGCAACCCCTGTGAAAGGGTCGTTCGACCGCCAAAGGGGTCACGACCCACAGTTTGAGTACCACTGTCCTAGGTGGTGCTGGTCCTCCCTAATCCATCACATTGGGAAGCACATGTGATGCAGGTTGTCCCACTTCTAGTGATGTTAAGGTTGACTGGTTGGCTCAGGTGTGTCAGCCTGACCCAACCTTTAAAAAGTTTACCTGGGGAACTTTAAAAAGGAGGGAGGAAAAAGTTGCCTAAACTCTAACCCCAAACTCCTGAATCATAATCTCCTCCACCTGTGTGTTTAAAAGGCTCTCTGTTGCAGCGGTCGCCAGCCTTTCGGACCTCACAGACCACCTGTGGTCTGAGGACCACCAGTTGGCAACCCCAGCTCTGGAGAACCACTGGATGGTAGAGGTGATTCTGATTCTCCAGCTCGTTGGAGCCTGGGTGAAAGGTAATCCAGCCCACCACGCCTTTAAGCTGGTCTTGAGGACTGCTTCCAGGGACTTACTGTCCTCAACTCTTTCCAATGAGTCAAGTAGTGAAGTCAGCAGAATTCACTAAGCTCTGCTGGGGAGGGAGCCCAGCCCAAGGGAAGGTGACAAGACGGGAAGAGTCATCAAGACCAGCAATTCACAAGGTAGATCCCTTTTGCAATTATTTCAGTGACTCTTCCCCAGGTTGGGAGCTAGACTCAGCAGGGATCATAATGTCCATTTTGTAGATGAGGAAAGTAAAGTCTCATGTGGTTAAGAAATTCACACAGTCAGTAAGTGGCAGAGCCAGGAGTGAGCCCAGGACTCTGAATTTTTAAAAGTGACCCCAGGTGGTTCTGCTGCAGGTGGTCCAAAGACCACACCTGAAAAAATATTGAACTTTTGGCACTGTCCTGTCCTGACTGCTGTCACCGAGCCCTCTCAAACACAAAGCTTGCTCTCAAGGAGCTTACAGTCCGAGGATGAATGAGAGTGTGTGCTAGATGCTATCATGTAGAATGGAAAGTGGTCAGTGCCATAGAGATAGTTCAGATAAACGGCTGGTAGAGTGCAGAAGAGGCAGCATTCACTGTCAGTGGGAGAAATCACGGAGGGCTTCCTGGAAGATATGGCATTGAGCTGAACTTTGAAGAAATAAGGCTATTCCAGGTGGAGGGGACGGCACTGGCAAAAGAAGAGAGGAAAAGGGAAATTCTGTAAACTTTTGGGTGTTGGAGGAGTAAATCAGATGGGGCCCGCCAAATTTGGAGGTCCTAAGAGAAGGAAATGAGGCACAGACAAGGTATATACTTGCTAAGAGGCCCAAGGCTTTGAGCTCCCAGCCCACAGGAATACTCCCTATTGGGGAGGCTGGTCCTCACACACAGCTCAATGTGACCCAGCTAATTAACAGTGATAGTTCTGTGACAGGAGCCTACATGAATGCTTTACATATTTTGCCTCATTAATCTTCACCTCAGTTCTTATGATGGTACCATTATTCCCTTCATTTTACAGAGAAAGAGATTTAACCTGTCACCCTGCTAAGACATGGCAGTGCTGGGTTCATGGCAGTGTGACTCCCAGGAACTGCCATTCTGACCAGTGGAGTCTTCTCCATACCTCTGCTTTTCCACCTCCTGCTCCTGATCCCTCTCCTTCCATCTCCTCAGGGCAGGTTCCTTGGGTTTCTGTGCAATAAGATGCCAGTTCCCCAGTTCTCTGCCTTTTGGTCCCTGGATCAAACCCACAGGCCCTTTCCTTCAAGGACTTACTCCTGTTGTCTACAGAGACCCAGGCACAGAGGCTCACAGAGTAACAGACACAGGCTAGGGACAAATATTTAGTCGGGCCAGGAGCTTGGGGCCCTGCTCCCTGGTTTCCAGCAGAGATCCTTGTGGATACCCCCGAGGAAGAGCCTGGTCAGGAGACAGAGGCCTACACAGCTTGTCCCAGGTGGAAGAGCAGGCTAGGAGCAGAGCCAAGACTGGACCCCAGGAAGCAGAGCTGCCTTCCGCTGGCTCTAGCAGCCGCCTTTGTTTGGGATGGAGCTCAGAGATGAGCTCACCCTTTCCTGCTGCCAGAGGGACCAGGACCTGAGGAAGGAACTGGGGGCAGCCTGGCCTCCTCATGCCAGGTTGCCCTTCCCCAGCAGAAGGCAGCCCCAGGCTCCTGGCCAACCTTGTGCTGATCTTGCCCATGCCCCCTTTGCTGAAAAAACTGGTGGTGTCAGCAGAGCAGCAGGCATACACGTGTCTGGGCCCACCCCATGGGGTTCTTCTCATTTCCCAAGACTTTAGCCAGAAAGGCCAGAGACAGTCCTCAACCCCATCTGACCCTCACAGGGCCCTTGGCTGCACTGGGGTAGGGTATCTTTGCCAGTGACACTGGGGCCAGAGTGGACACTATGACTCCTGACAACCTTCTGGGCTCCTGGCAGCCTCCCCCTGTACTTGAAGGTGGCAGAATGGACTGGAACATGCCTCAAAGCTGGGCAGTAAGAGGCAGGGCTCAAGGGCATTCCAATGCCAGAGATCAAGGGAAGCAGGGATCTGTAACGGGACAGACAGGAGTCAGGACTGTTGAAACAACAGCCTGCCCAACTCCCAGCCCCTTGCATTTCTCTCACAAAGTTGGGGTTATTTAATCCCACCAAAATCAGGCTTTTCCCTGTCCCAGGCCTGATCAGGGGAGTTGGTTTTAAGAGGACCTGGTTGCTAGAACCCCAATGGCCTTGTGCTTCCCTTCTGGTCAACAGGCTTATTCTAGGCACCAACCTTCCCTACCTTATGTATGGTAACAAGAGCAACTATGCCCTCACACAACCCTATAAGGTAGGATGATTTCCCCAGGCTCAGGGGGTAGGCCTTCTGGCCAAGTTCCCACAGCTGGTGGGGGTAGAGCTGGGCATTAACGTGATCTGCTCCACTCAGGCATGTGCTCAAGACCACGGGCTATGTGGCTGCCTCAGCTTCATACTTGAGATTCCATGCCCCACTTTCAGCACCTGGACCTTATTGTTTTTTACTCAGATTTGAATTCCTGTTTTTGATCTCGATGATAACTCAGTTTAGATCTGAGGTCTTGCTGGACTGAGAGCTGCCACAGGCCCAGAGCCTAGCCTGCCCTTGGGTCTCCTGAAGCTGACCTCCAACCTATCGCCCAGGACTCCCCTCTGCCTGTCCCACTACCTCCTCCTTGACTCAGGCCCCTTTCATCTCCCACCTGGGCCCTTGTACAGCTTCCTAACTGACCCCCTGACCCCCCTGCCTCTGGTCTCACCGCCCTCTAAACCCTCCTCCAACCACAGCCAGAGTGATGTCATTGTGTCACCACCCCCACTCCAGCTTAAACCCCCCACTGGCCAAGAAGCCAATCCAAATTCCTTTGCATGGCATCATAGCCTGCTGCCAGCCTGGCTGACCTCATCTCTCTCTGGCCCTCCCCTCGTGCTTTGTTCCAGAGCCAAGTGGAATGAAACTGCTTGTCCC